GCCGGTCCAGGTTGTGGTAGTTTTGTGGCTTTGTAACACTGCTATCACTACTGTCACACTCCGCACCTACCACTAATTTCTCAAAGACCTCGGTCCATTAGTGGTATGTGCTTGTTGTGAACATCAGTGAGATGCAGTGTAGTAGTGACAAAGGATGAACATCTCCTGGGAGCCGCGTACTTCTCAATAGTAATCCAACACATGCTTCCATTTGAAGTCTTTGTAGAACTGACACCTGATGCCACTCAAATCAAAACGTTTGCTATATCTGTGTCCGGGTCCTGTAGAGGTGTGGTGACGTTATGCAAAGGGTCTATTAAGAGCCGACCTAGGTACAATTAATCTGGCGCGGTGGCGTGACTGTGGGATTGAGGGTGGGATTGATCCACCGAATTGAGGGTAAGCAAAGACAATAAATAGGAGGGAATATAATTCAAATGTGCAGTCTTAAGTACTGTATGGAAGGGGATTATTTGCACTAACTGCCTCTCTTTTTCCGCCAAGCTTCACTGTGGATTCATCAACATTGCAAACCTATGCATTAATAGGGGACCGATCAATTTCTATCATCATGCGCGGGTGCTCCAATTGCATTGCTGTGAATAACTTTCTCTGCTAAATGGGTGATTTTAAATGCAAAACTGCATGCAATATGAAACTACACATATTTAGAATGTCCTTTACAATATGAAGTTACGTGCAAAATCGATCATAACACTTCGGTCTTCGTTGGAACATAAGCACGCATTCGGGCTAGTCGGAGGCGGCACTTCACACAAGCTTGAATGCGCCTCAACCATTCTCGCCCTCTTCTTCTCTCTACCTTCGTCTTTCTTTCCTCCGCTTCCGCCTCCACCTCCACCTCTACCTCCTTCTCCACGTCTACATTCACCAAACCCTCTCCATTCTTTTTCTTGTTCTCACCTCCATTCTTCTTTGCCTCAAAACTTAACGACCTTGGTTTCTTCCTCCTCCCCGTCCTCCTTCTCCTTCTCCTGCATATTTCCATCCCGGTTCTTGTTTGTTTTCACCTTCACGGTCTCACTCTTACTCCCACTCACATTCACTCTCGTCTCCGTTCCTTCCTCCACCGCCTTCCCTTCTCGCACACCCAGTCTCCCATTACCTGCAAACACGCACACACCTATGCAATGCATGTATCCGAGCATCTCAATTGTGCGCCTACCTGTGTCGTCTCCCTCTCCAACTGACCAGTCATCTACAAGACACAAGCAACTCCAGTCCAATTCACTGTCTCACTCACTACCACATATCTTCCCCCTCAACTCACCATGTCAACCACAATGTGAACCACAATCACCTTCGTAGTAATCCACAATTTGCACAGGAAACGCTCCGGCTGGTTGATAAACTACAACGAACAAAAGCACAATCGAAATTTACTAGTCGTCTCGGCATTAAAGTCACACTGACGATTGACAACACGCAAAGAGAGAATAGCATGCATTGGTGGAATAATACTGAGTCTTACCAAAGGGTGACATTGCACTCACGAGAGACGACTTGCTTGAAGCTCGGCCTGCCAGCGTTCTTATAAGGGACTGATTTTTAAAAATTGTTAAAGTAAAAAGAAAGTTTATCGTTAATAGACATTTTTTCGCTTTTTATACCAAGTTAACGCAAGCATCTGGAAGATAATTAGCCCTTTTTTAGTGCTAACTAGATGCCTTTTCCTTAGATTAAAGTGTCCGAAGGCTTGTGCATTCCCACACTTTATGTTTTTAAATTATTAGGTCCACGTCTGTGAACATAGGGAGGAGAGACATTATTGCTCGAAAGCCTAAATTCGCATTTGTCCGTAATTGATGATTAGTAGGTTCTCTCACAGTATTTGCATTTGACAAGCCGTCAGTGAGTTGTCTTTCTAGAGCTAACCATGATGAGAAGATGCATAAACCCTCCATCGTGCAGGGGGAAGACGTTAAGAGCAAAGAAAGAAACCAGATGATAAAAATACGACACCGAGAGCTGAATTTAGGGACTTCATTTCAGGGCTGAAAATTCCTTCAATCAAACAAAAGTAGCAATGATTAATTAAGAGACTAGCTTTTTCGCCCAGGTCATTTTCAAGCTGGCAAAACTTGTGCAGGAAAATGTGCAAGTGATGCGAAAAAGATGTTGAGAAAATATGAGGAGGTAGGAAGCTTTACTGAACAGCAAATTTGCGGCCAATCCCTCGGTGGTGAACGCGGTGACAGTTTAAATTTTGTTGTCAAAAGTGACACATCACTCTAGTGAGCAGGGCATTTGTAAAAATTTATGAGTTAGCATGCACTGGGTATCCGACAGTTAGTTTTAGGGGGACATTCATACTTACTTTCCATCTTTAGAGTCAATACTTTTTA